TGGAGAACTTTCTAAGAGAGTTTCATTTGACAGTATTTTAGGATAGAAAACAGAGGTAATCATAGTCACATCACATATATACAGTTACTACATCTTCTTAATGAACTGTTGTTCCACTTATTAATATATAATGGTCTTTATCTCCTCTAATTTTGGTTTGAAGTCTAATTTATCCAATAGCAGAATAGCCGCACCAGCTTGTTTCAGCTTCTAATCACGTGGTAGAGTGGCTTCCTTCCTTTGATTCTCAATCTGTGGGTATCTTTATTCTGATGTTTTTCTCAGAGACAAGAACTAGTTCCATCTAGCTTTGTTTGGTTTGCATTTTTAAGTTCAGTGAGCTGTGTCTCCTTGTTGGTGAGTGAAGACCATTCATAATTTAGGCTATTACTGAGAGATGTTTACTAATTCCTATTACTTTGATGATTACATTTCTGGTTGCCTAGATTATTGCTTTTGTTGACTTTCTCATGCATTAGTGTTAGAGATATGCTGATTTACCATGTTGGATGTGATGGATTCTTACCTAGGTCTCCTTTTTTTTGTTTATCCCACTCATGAAACTAATTCTTTCCCCATGTTTAGTATTTCTTTCCGTACGTTTTGCTATACTACCTTGGCTGTCATGAACAGCCTTGGTTTGAGATTGTCTTGATGTGTCCTTATCTTCCCATCAACTTTGAATGATAAATTTGCTGGATATAGCAATCTTAGTTGTTAGTTGCTTTCAGTACTTGGAATATGTCATTTCATGCTTTTCTGGCTTCAAGCATCACTGACAAGAGATCTGATGTTATTCTGACATTTTTGCTTTTGTTGGAGACTCATCCTTTCCCTCATATAGCTTTTAATATTGTTTATTTGCTTTAAAAATTTTTAGGAGATTTTATTATATTTGTTTTTTTGAGGCAGGGTTTCTCTGTGTAGCCCTGACTGTCCTGGAACTCACTCTGTAGACCAGGCTGGCCTCAAACTCACAGAGATCTGCCTCCTGAGTACTGGGATTAAAGGCATGTGCCACCAATGCCTGGTAATTTTATTTTTAATTTAAATTTTATTTAATTTTGAGAATTTCAAGCATGAATACTGTATTTACATCCTTTCTATTCTTCTCTTCTTCTTATTTCTCCTATGTTCCCTACGACCTCTCTATTTTTTGACATCTTGTTTAATTATTATTGTTACATATATATTATATATATCCATCCTCTTTATCTATCATATTTATAAGATGTCTGTCTCTTTTTCCCTATCTACCTCTGTCTGTCTGCCTGCCTGCCTGCCTGCCTGCCTGTCATCAGGTAACTGCTGAGTCTATTTAGTACTTACTGTTCATATGTAAATGTGTTTCTGGTTTACCAGTAAGGATTGGATAACTTGCAGTATAAGTTCCCCTCTATGGTTCATAACCTCACCAGCCATGGGTAGTTAGAAGTTTACAATGCCAGGCATGAATTCTCTCCTATAGATCAGACCTTAAGTTCAGTTTAACAGTTGTTTATTATCCCCAAAATATAAATGCAACCACTGCATCACTGGGGACTTCTTGCCATGTTGGTCATTGTTGTGGTTCATGGGCTTTTCAACTGGCTAGAAATATTGGCTATTTTTCTCCCTTGGCAGCTTGCATAGCATCTTTGGATAAATTGAAAAGTAGTCTTCAGGAAGAGGGTTCCAGATTAGTTCTAAATCAATTCCATGGGTTCATAGGCTTGGTATTTTGATCATGTCCTGGAGTTCTGGATTATTGTGTTCATTTTTAACTTGTTTTGTCCTCATTGGTGCTTGAGTGTAGTGTTTCTTTGACCTTGTACTTTATGCATGATACTCTTTCTTTTGCTTGGTTGAGTACTATCAGTGCTGTTTTCCCGCTGTGTCTTTTATTTGGTTTCTTGAGCTTTTCATTTCCAGTGTTTCTATTTTTTCCATCTAAAATATCAATTTCCTTGCTATTTCAAATATGGTGCTGATTTTCTCATCCACTTTGATGAATGCTTCCTCTATGTTTCTCACTTTCCTCTCTAGTCTTCATCTTTTTTATTCTTTTTTCTTACTGAGAACATTGGCAAGTATCTTATAAACAAATGTGTGTTTTTGCTACTCACCTGGAAGTTCAGCTGTCAAAAGGACAAATAATAGACGGAAGAATAAGACATGGGGCAGGGAGGAGATAGAAGGGAGGGACATTAATGCAGAATAGCTCAAGAAGTCCTGATGGATAAGGATTATACAGTCCAATAAATAGCCTGCATCTGCAGAGTGACTAGTTTGAGGTTTACTTCAATGGATCATCAGTCAAATGGAACCTTATTTCCTAATCTGGATTCATCTAGGATTTGGGATTGTGCAAGTTAACAAAAATTCACTTGTTTCTTATCTGAGCATCTTCATAGTTGTATTAAAGTGGCCTTACTACACTCGCCACATCTGTTCTGAGGAATAATTTTCTAGTGACTGAAAAGGGATGTGGAATACAGAAAGGGGCAAACAACTGACCTACAACTATAGTTCAAAAACAAATAGTCTCTACCCAAATGTAGAAAATGGCAGCTAAAGTAGCAATGTGGGAGCTTTGATTGCAGCATTAATTAAGCATTTTAGTTTAAAATTTTTTTATCTTGTGGCATCTCTTTTGCTATAACTGAATGCTTAACCAGAGGTTATACTTACCATCAATATATATAAAACATACAGCTTTCAGTGGGTAGCAGTAATATGGATAATAGAGCTGTATGAATACAAAATGTGTAGAGTTAATTAAGACTAATGTGCATCAGTGGAGAAAAACCTATTAGCATCCATTAGTTAATCCCATTTATGATTATTTGTTAACTGTCAGAAAGCTAAGGGCCTCTCATGCAAGCCAGACAAATGAGTCATTCAAAGTGATTTTCTGAAACTCAACTATAGTACTTTACTTGAATTTTCCCTTTAATATTGTAGCTGTTGGTGTTGCACTTTTTGAAACAGGCTCTCACATATCCCAGACTGACCTCAAGCTTCTGATTCTTCTGCTTTCCCTTCACTCATATGTGTCTTTACACATGACTGAGTAGGTAATTTTTTTTCAAATTGAAAAATTGTACAAGTTTATTATGAATACAAAAGAACCACTCATAAAACAGAAGAATTAGCTCACAGCACAGTGAAACCTACAAATTATTAAGGAAAAACTGTGACCTTGTCAGTGATTGGCCACTCTATATTATTACTATCATGTTTAGACCAAGTAGGGCTATTAAATTGCATTCTCTAGTGCTGATTGATTGAATTTTATGGAATCATGCTGACAAGTAGGTACAACTTACATTGTATGTTTCATGTATAACTAATTATCATCCAGAGAAGTCAAGATGGCTTAGATTTGTTACATAGTTACATATATTTGGCTACATATGCAAACAGAGACTTCCAGTTTTATTTCTTAAACTCCTCTCTTAGGATACAGGGGGATGTAAAGGTGATATCAGCAAATCAACACTATCAATATGTTTCTGGTAAGTGACAGAGAAGCTGTACAGTTGTCCCTCAGAGCACATGGAAGATTGTTTGCAGGACTCCTACCGAGTGGGTAATTTTTTAAGACAGGCAGCAGTGTCTATGAAGCGATAATTCTAATGACAATGGAAACAGAGTATAATCCTAATAAATTTCCTGAAAGTTATTTCCCATTTGCCATTTTTAGGTTGTGTTATCATGAATAGTTGTGCGGGTACTGGAAAAAGTGTGTGTGTGTGTGTGTGTGTGTGTGTGTGTGTGTGTGTGTGTGTGTTGGCTAGCCTGTGATTTCTCAGAGTTTAATTTTTAAAAAAAAATGTTGGATTAGTAGCAATATATTTGATAAATCTGTAATTTACTCAGAATTTCAATTTACTTAATGGGGTTTGAAAATCCTGAATTAATACTTTTTTCTTTTAACTCAATAGATCCTAACTGACAGTTCATAAAAGCAATATCCTGGCTTTCATGGTGTGGGCACAGGTTCAGGGGGTGTGATAAAAGTCTGAGAAAAAGATTAAAATGAAAAAAGTATAAACACATGCTCAAATGAGTCAGCCCTCAGTGATAACTCACTTAGAATCTTCCTTCCCCTGAGAATTGTATGATTTGATCATTCTTGCTTCCCATATTACCCAAAACACTTAATGTTGGTGGGCTGGATTTTTATTTAACATAACATCTCAGTAGGCATATAAACTTTAGACAGTATTTCCCATCTGGGGCCAGGAGCTAAGAGCTTTGTTTATTTGTGTATCTCTACCACTTAGTGGGTTTTTGTTCTGTACATACTAAAGTGCATTAAATCCTTGGGGAATAGGTTAATAATGATTGATGAGATGACCCCGTTACTCTAGATAGAATTAATCTCTAACAGTTGAGTTTACTTTTGTGGGAAGTGGAATATTATGCACAAAGTTAGCTATAAACTCAAGTCTTTGGGGCCATTCTGCTCGACTCTGGCCTGTCCCAGTGGCTATTGCTTCTACTTATATTGCATATTAGGCAATTTGATTCTAAAATGTTAGGTATCCTTCTCAGGATCTCACAAGCTAGAAAGTAGTAGAGCCAAAATGCAAATCCAACTTTGTCAGCCTTCAAAGCCTGCTCAAAGGTAGGAACAATGTACCAGCTTTTGATAGTGCTCTTCTGGCTCTAATTTGGGTGCACAGTTTGCAGTGCCATGGGGCTACTTCAGCTGCACAATGGACTTCCCTTGAGGTATCACTTTCTCTTGTAGAAGTGCTGTCTTCCCAGATAAGCCATTCCTTCTTTTAGGGAGGAATTGCCTTATTTCTGGGTTGCCTCCTTTCTCAAGAGCTTATTCACGCCCTACCCTCAGCACCCAATGGCCTGTGATCAACTCCTCAGCTCTTCTTGACGCTGAATGGAACAATTTCCCAATCCTACTGTGGCAACAAGGTTGGGAGAAGTCAAGAAGTAAAATTATGGGCCAGACGTCACCTCACGACCTGCTTTCTGTTTTGTTCTCTGCAACGCAGATTGAAGATGGGGGCAAGGCAGCCTTGTCCCAGAAGATGAGGACTGGTGATGAGCTGGTGAATATCAATGGCACTCCATTGTATGGCTCCCGCCAAGAGGCCCTCATCCTTATCAAAGGCTCCTTCAGGATCCTCAAGCTGATTGTCAGGAGGTAAGGTACAGGTGCAGAGGCCATTGAAAAGTACTCGATTGATAATAAAGCCTCAATAAAGTGGCATCTCTATCATTATCATCAAGAAGAGGGTACTTCATGTGAGCAGAATTGTGCAGACAACTAGAGCGGAATGGACAAAGGGCTGTTGATTCACATTTTGACGCTGCCGTATACTCAGTATACCCCTTCAGATAAATGCTTCTTCAGGACTCAATATTCTGAGAACTCAGCAACTCAAAACATTCAAGGCTCTATATAACCCAGGGCTTTTTCTATCTCTGTCATAACAGCCATTGTTCAGTCATCACATATCAACAGAGATTTAAAAGAACCCTACTGCCAGCTATGGAAAGTTCTCTGGAGGCTATGGAAAACTCCAAGACAGAAATGTTACCCTAGTATAGTTTCACAGGTGACAAAAAGCATGTATATGTCAATAAAAATTAATAATATAAAGAAGCAATACAAAGTTTCACTGAAATGTTTGTACTTGTTAAATAGATTGTTCAGAGAAAAATTGCTAATTAAAGAGAAAAAGAGGTCACGTCAGGATTCAATAGGGTTACATTCAAATAGGAGGTAAATTTGAGCTAAAGGATCAGTAGAATTAGAAAAATAAACCATCAGAAATAGATTCTGGCTAGATGACATTGCACAAGAAAAAGGAAGGGCAGGGACACCATTGGGTGTAGTCATTCCAATGCCGCTGCCAGAGCATCTGCCTGTTCACGTGACCTTTTCAAAAATTATATCTTTATTTTTGAGATTATAACATAATTATATCATACCTGTCTTCTTTTTCCTTCCTGTAAATACTCTCCCCTTGTTCTCTTTCAGAATCATGGCCTCTTTTTCTTCAATTGTTGTTACTGAGAGCAGGAGAAACAGTCTTCCCCAGGGAAGAACACACTAATTGGTTGTCCAATACCAAATGGTCAGCCCTGAAAAGACAGACACACAAATAACATTATATGACCTTATCTGGTTGTGTTTATGTATTTATGTGTGTGCATGCGCTCGCGCACACATAAACACACACACACACACACACACCTTTTTATTGTGGTGCTGGGAATGGATAATAGGGCCTCCTGATGCTAGTCAAGTGCTCTCACATTGGAGCTCCACCCCCAGATCATTTCTTTCAATTTCCTGCAGCATCTCTACTCTCGACTGCTAGAATTCAGGCTTTTCCTTTTTGTTGGTTGGTTCCCTTTATCTTATATGCGTACCTAAGTTTCTACATCATTGTTGTTAAAGAAAGATTAGCATAGTACATCATATAATTTGTATAAGTTATTTATATTGTATTATTTATTACAGGAAAAATGTAATTTACCTTGCATGATATTCCTCCCTCTGGCTACTGCTGTTTTCCTCCTTTTGTTGTATATTTGTCTCAAAAGTATCCATTCTGCATGCACTTGTCTACCTTCCATTTAGCTTTAGGATCCCTGAAGTCGGAACTTGGCATCTGTAATTCAAATTCACAAAATTTTACCTTATTGTCAAAGCCAGTATATTATTTTCAGTCTTCATCATATCTGATTTATAGAAGACATTTGATACACTTGGTCTAGATTACGAAACTCTGACTTTTAACATATTCTGTTTACTTCACTTTGTTCTTCCTTTTTGTCCATGTTTTAGCCAGTCTCCTTTATGACTTTGACCATGCCATAAACATTTTATTTTAAGTAGTTCTATCTTTTCTGACTTCATCATAATATAGAAATTGTAATATCAAAAATATCACTGGCTCCTCCTGTTTCAATTTTTATCTATATATGGATGATTCTAGCTCTTCTGTCCCAAACCAGTTTCCTCTTGGACATTTATATTTAGAGTACCTATAGTATTTCAGATACAGTATGCTGCTCTAAGCCCAACACCTTATTCTCCACTAAAGCTTCCTATCTTGGTGGCATTCCAGCAACCAAGCCAGAAGGAGAGCTGTCATAAATTCCTCTATTGATCTCATGTAACATTCAAACAGTTTATCAAAAAATCTTTCCCTCAGATAGAAATGGTAACAGTTTGGGATTACATGGGGCAGATTATATAGAATCCCATTGGTTTGTTGCATGATCTTCTGGTACCTAGTATTAAGTCATACCTTTCCAGATTTAGGCATCACGGTAAGTAGTATGTTGTTCTACGTAATACCTGTGTTATCACTGATTGCATCTTATATGAAAAGTTGCTTTTCCTATGCTAGGAATGGAATCCAAGGCCTTGAGTCTGCTAGTCAAGTGTCCTGCCATTGACCCACATCTTCACCAATTTGTATTGGTTATGATTTATGTCTTAAGTAAGACTTCATGGAGAGGTCACTTGGTAAGAGTTCTTGTTTAGTTTCTGATAGGTTCATGATACCAGTCATTTGTTCTATCACATGGAAATTATAGATCCTTGAATAGTCTTATTATTGTGAGTATTAAATGACAGAATATTTATAAAATTCCTTTTACCTAATGGTTTTTCCCTTCCAAGTACCAATCAGACTTAATTGTGCTTAGCTTCCAAGATCGAGGTGGTTTGGCCATAGCTGCATAATGCTGTATCAGGGAATTTCAGTCCATTCCCTTCTCTGAGGTATAAAAGAAACATAATTGGAGTAGCCAAACACTTTTAAATGGGAAGTGCATTAGAGCTGTGATGTTCGCTGTATCCTAGTCTACAGAGTATGATTTGCTGGGAAACCAATTTAGGGTAGCAAGTATCTGAACAGAAAATATGGCTCTTGGTGAGATTCTGGTTGTATAAAGAAAGGGGCACTTTAGAGTATGAATACTGTAAGAGAAGTTTCTGAGTTTGGTTCCACAAAAAGATGTGAAGATGCTGGGGTTTTAGCTACTCACCTTTTCTTCTTTCTCTACTATAGTAGTAGTACTGCCACTACAAAGCATCTCTTAAGAGTGGCTATAATTACAGCCTTGGAGATAGTGGTGGTCTTTGGTTTTCATGGAGTAAAAGGCTCTATCACTCCCAGTACCTACATTTTCTACTTTTTCAACACCCCCACTTCAACCCTTATTACTTGAGGCATTCCATGCATAATTTATGAGATGATGCTGCCCTCTTGTGGAAAACTTAACCTTTCCTTATGGATTGCTGTGGACATGGCACAGGAAGTTCCTTTTTGTTTAGTCCCAGTCAACCCCCACTCCCCAGTTTGTGGAAAAGGTCTCTGTTCTTCATAAATTAGTACAGGAAAGAAGTGTGGTGTTCTTACAGCTTATTCGTGTTCATCCCTTTGTCTTAGACCTAAGTAGAAGGACTTTGGTTTAAGTAAATCACTGACAAAGTTCCAATGCTGAGCTTTAGGCCTTTGCTTAAGCCCTCTGAAGATGAACATACAAGGAGACTTTAGAAAATGCCTTATTCTGAGAACCAAATCCAGTGTGTGTGTGTCCATCTGTCTGTCCTCGTGTGTGCACACTTCTAGGGCTTAAACCCAGAGCCTTGTATATTCTAGGCAAGCACTTTACCTCTGAGCCACAGAGCCAGCCCTATATTGTCCTTTAATGACAGCTAACTAAGTCAGAAATCAAGGTGTCCTTGTCAAGCCTCCTCTTGCCTCACCTTCAAACCCAAGTAATTTCAAACCTTGACATATATCACCTGCTCTAAACCGCTGTTGTTTAGTCTTCATTCAATCACTCAGGATTTCTCACCTGTACTATTTTGAGAGCCTTCCCACTGGCTTCTCAGCGTTCGGTTTTACCTCTTTCCAATCAATCCCTGCTCCAAAAGGACATCTGAGCAGACTACTTTTCGATTGAAAAAAATTAAAAATAAGAACTGTAGAGCCATGCTATTTTCAAAAGGTTTATATGGATAAACTATTTAACCACATTAAAGTCATCATAGTCATAAACAAAGTTGAATATTTTGTTAATTATTTAAGAATTTAATGCATTGTATTTTGATCATATTCATCCTCCTCTCCACCTATTCCAAGATTCAGCCCACAATTCCATACCCACCCAACTTTTTACCTTTGTGGATTAAAAAAAAAGAAGAAAACATTGATCCAATTAGTCCTGCCTATATATCCCTGAGTGTGTGGCCATCTACTGTACCATTTTTTGATTTACCAGGGAGATACCTTAAAGAAAATTAACTCTCCCTTTCCTGACAGCTATCAAGTATCATTAGCTCCTCAGCAAGGGACTTGGTGACTAAGTATCATTTTAACTAAAAATCATGATATCTAACTATATAAAGAGAAACCTGTCATCAGGAGAAAAAGAAAATTTATGAAAATGTCTGTATTAAAGATTTTGACATACCTTAAGCATGAAAACAAGGAACACCAAAATACAAATAATTGGATGAATTGAAAATAGAAGTTATTCATTCTAATTAGTAAAGTTTACAAATATTTTATAGATAATAATTCATTACTTCCAAATATTCATTGAATATCCAACAATGATTACATGTTATCCTGCAGAGAATATGTATGCAAATTCTTAGCAGCAGAAGTGACATTGGCTTTGTTTCTGACGATAGTGTACAAATTTCCCAAGTTTAAACAAAAATCTTTAGCCACTTTAATATAGCAGAACACATTTACATGCAAATAACAAATCAAAGAAAAATAGCAAACTAATAAAAATAAAAATGGTGAGAGCATGACTTGTCAAAACTTTGCGATTAATATTCAGAAGTGAATTTATAACATTTGATATTTTATTAAAATGAAGAATACAATTACATATCTAAGCATCCAATATAATATTCATGCCAAGGGCTTGATTTGGGGACTGGGAAGATGGATTAAATAGATAAGCCTCTAGCAAATTTAATCAAGTAAACAAAGATGAAAAATAAATAAAATTTAAATGATAAGTGGCAAATAGCATCATAGAAATAGTTTCTGCAATTAATTACAGATTACTATAATTATACTTTAGGAAATCTTGAACTCACATAGAAATTTACTGCATATACTTCAATTTTAAATGCCAAAATTATTGAGAAGTTGTATA